TCACTCTCTCTTTAAAAAAGAAAAAAATTCAAATTTACACAGTCGGGGCGTGGTGGCCAAGTCTATAATCCTAGCGGCTCAGGAGGCTGAGACAAGAGGATTGAGAATTCAAAGCCAGCCTCAGCAAAGGCAAGGCATTCAAGTAACTCAGTGAGACCTGACTCTAAATAAAATACAAAATAGGGCTGGGGATGTGGCTCAGTGGTTGAGTGCCACTGAGTTTAATACCTGATACCAATCAATCAATCAATCAATCAATAAGTTCAAATTTATAATGTAGTCCCCATTGAATTATAAGGCTACTGGATTATCCAGACATGAACTTTGGTGGCCAGGTCATCCTACTTCTGCAGAGATTGTGGCTGCCTACTTCACTATCCTTAGGAAGCCTGCAGCATGGCCAGGTGGAGATGGTTAGAATCCTTTTTTGTTTTTAAAGAGTTTGTATGTGGTGCTGGGTATCGAACTCGGGCCGTACACATGCCAGGCRAGCGCGYTACCGCATGAGCCACATCCCCAGCCCTGGTTAGAATCCTTAATCTTCACACTGCTGCTGTCCAATACAGCAGTAGCCACCAACCACATGTGGCTGTTGAACATCTGCAATGTGGCCAGTCTAAATTAAGGTGTATTGTAAGTGTAAAATATGCACTGGATTTCAAAGGCTTAGTATGAAAAAAAAAGAATGTAAACCTCAATAATTTATATACTGATTGGCCTATTGAAATGTTTTGGATATAATGAATTAAATATAAGATAATAAAATAAATTTCACCTGTTTCTTTTCTTTGGTACTGGGCACTGAATCCAGGGGTGCTCTAACTCTGAGCTATACTTCCAGCCCCTTTGTTAATTTTATTTTGAGACAGGGTCTTGCTCAATTGCCTAGGTTGGCCTAGAACCTGCAATCCTCCTGCCTTAGCCTCCTCAGTCATTAGGATTATAGGAGTGCACCCCTGAGCCCAGCTTTTACTTTTTAATTTGGCTTGTAGAAATGTTTAAATTACATGAATAGTAAAAAAAATATTACTTGTTTATTCTTAGTTTATTCATTTATTTTTTGCTACTGGATATTGAACCCAGGAGCACTTGACCACTGAGTCACATCCTCAGCCCTATTTTGTATTTTTATTTAGAGACAGGATCTCACTGAGTTGCTTCACCTTGCTTTTGCTGAGGCTGGTTTTAAACTCTTGATCCTCCTGTCTCAGCCTCCCAAGCTGCTGGGATTATAGGCATGTGCCACTGCACCCAGCAAAAAATTTATTTTTTATTTATTTATTTTTACCATACTGGATGGGGATTGAACCCAGGGTCTCTCAAATACTAGGCAAGCTATGTTCTCTAATARAATATTTAAAGTTATACATTATATTGTAGTTCTAATCATATTTCTATTGGACATGCTGATCTATGATTAGTATTTACTTGGCCATAGACAAACTTGTATAATAACTCTAAGCCTCAGATACCTCATCATCTGTGCCTGATGCTTAAAAAAAAAAAAAAAAAGCAGTATAGTAGATGTTGGCTATTGTGGTTATTATTAAGAATTCCATAATTCCAGAGACTTGGGAGGCTGAAGCAGGAGGATTACCAGTTTGAGGCCAGCCTGGGTAACTTAGCAAGACCCTATCTCAAAACAGAATAGAAAAGGTTGGGAGGGGCTGGGATTGTGGCTCAGTGATAGAGCGCTGGCCTAGCACGGGCAGGACCTGGGTTCCATCCTCGCACCACATAAAAATAAAGGCATTGTGTTGTGTCCATCTACATCTAAAAAATAAATATTAAAAAGAGATAAAAGGTTGGGGATGTAACTCGGAGGCACAGCACTCCTGGGATCATCCTCAGTATCTGCCCYCACCCTCATACACAGAGTTCCAAGGGGCTAGGGCCACAGTGACAGACTGTGTGGCTAGCATGCCCGAGGTCAACCCCCAGCACACAAAAAGAAAAACGAGAAACAATTCCAACTGCTGAGTGTAAGATGGCAGKCTGGGGACATGAAAGGTGCCAAGAAATAAAGGACCAGAAAAGCGTAGATCAGGGGAACAGAAAGAAATGGAGGATGAGCCTCCAGGGTGGGAGTTCAAATCAAGAGCCAAGGAGTCCCCAGAGCGTGGGTGCCATAGCCAGCCTCGGACAGACAGGATGTCCTTGAGGGAGCTGACCCTTGTYCTGGACCCATCCACCTGCAGCAGGAACCATCCAGAGTGTCCCAATTGGGCCTGCAGCCTATTGTCTTCACAGAGTAGGACCTTGCAGGTCTGTTCTCACCTGTGCAGACACTACAGAGCTACCCTTATCAGGAGGCCGCCTTGATATGACCCCTAAGGTGACACATTCAATAAGGCACTGACCCAGCCTCTGTGAGGACCAGAAATGGCCATGGACTCCCTTAGAGGCCAGGAGAGCTCTACTCCAGAAAGAATGGTTTCATCTGCTTTGTAAGGAAAAAATGCTAGGTGGTCGGTTGTGGCCACAGAAACAATGCCTTGGTGGCCAGAAAGTGGGGTACCTTTGGATCTAGGCTGCTGTGTCGTCCTGGGCACTTCACTTCCCGCTGGGAGCTTCTCTTTCCTCGTATCCAAACAGGAATGAGAATGAAAGATGCCTTAAGAGTCATTCTTGCCAGGAATGGTGGCCATATCTGTGATTCCAGGGACTCAGGAGCCCGAGGCAGGACTGTAAATTCAAAGTCTCAGCAACCCAGTGAGGCCCTGTCTCAAAACAAACTATAAGAAGGGCTGGGGATGTGGCTCAGAGCTTAAGTGCCCCTGGGCTCAATTCCCAGTACCAAAAAAAAAAAAAAAAACAAAAAACAACTTTCAAAGGCCCTGGGTTCCATCTCCAGAACTTCAAAAACAGAAAGGGGGAAAAAAAAAGGTCATGTAGATGTGTACACTACATAATCCATACTTCTGCTGAAGTACTTTACAAATGAAAAAGGAGGCTAACAGAGAAAATGGAATGAGAAATGGGAGGGAATATTATAGCCTGAAAAGGCAATGACCCAAATTTGGGGGTGTGTGGCTTTTGGCATCCACCCCAGTCTTCTTCCCTGTGGCCCAGGTTGGCAGTGTACCCCTGAGGTGTCATCCAAGTCTACTGGGACATTCTGTGGTTCAGCCTTAGCAGGTGCGCAGTCTCCCTGCCATCTCCCACTTCATACAGTCGGCCTTGGGCATGCTGTCCCAGGTACTTGGGAGGCTGAGGTGGGAAGACGGCTGCAGCCAGCCTGGGAAACAGAGCAAGACTCTGTCTCAGAGAAGTAGAGTCAGCCTTAAGGGCTTCCCCTCACAGCAGGCAGGGGATGAGCCCTCACCTTGTGGCCCATGACATAAGCCATACACATGGTTGACAACTTACTCAACGGTTTGGATACTGATGCAAGTWTTTGCCACAGAGAAAAAAATTGTTGAAGACGGATAATTTTTATTAGAAAAATCACCAAGAAATTTCTTTCCTAACTTGGGACCACTTGATGGATAAATGAACACTAATGCAACAAGGCTTTGTACAGTGGATCTGGGGGATGAGCAGGAGTCCAGGCACCCCCTAAGTAAAGAGTGCACATGAGGGGAGAGGGGCTAAACAGCCTTGCACTTCTGGTACCCACAGYGCTTAGTTCATCCAGGACTATGAAGAACTTGACTTCCCTCTCAAAATTTTACCTATCTTCAAAGCCAGTGCCAGCACTGCTACTTCAGAACAAGCGTTCCTGATTTCCCCAGTCCTCATCCCTTCCTTCCTCTGTGCTGCCCTCACCTCGCTTATCTATGACTTCCTACACTCAGTTAGCACCAACTGTTTCTGTAGCACCGTGTTTGGTGTTGGATCCCACACTTGTCCAGGACCCAACTACTCAGCCAGTCACTGTCCCCTCTATATTTTCTTATCATTGTCCTGTTCCTTTGCCTTTAAACTCCTAGTTTAAGGATAGAGGCCACAACTTAGTCATTTTTCGCCCTGTGTAACTTGTCCAGTCCTTAGCACATAACAGATCAAAGCACTAAACTTAATGGAATTTTTTTGTGATGCTGGTGGTGGAACCCATGACCTCAGATATAATCCTAGCTACTGGGGAGGCTGAGGAAGGAGGATCTCAAGTTCAAGGCAAGCCTGGGCAAWTAAGGGAGATCCTATCTCAAAATAAAAGAAAGGCTGGGCATGTTGCTGCATGCCTGTAATCCCAGATACTCAGGAGGCTGAGGCGGAAGGATMACAAATTCAAAGCCAAYCTCAGCAATTTAGTGAGGTCCTGGGTAACTCAGCAAGATCCTGTCTCAAAATAAAGAGGGTTTGGGGGTGTGGATCAGTGGTAAGGTACCCCTGGATTAAATCCCCAGTACCAAATAAATAAATAAAAATAAAAGAAAAAGAGGCTGGGTGCAGTGGCACACACTTGTAATCCCAGAGGCTTGGAAAGCTGAGGCAGGAGAATCATGAATTCAAGGTCAGCCTCAGCAATTTATTGAGGCCCTAAGCAACCAGTGAGAACTGGACTCTAAATACAACATAAAAAAGGGCTGGGGATGTTGCTCAGTGGTTAAGGTCCCTTAGGTCCAAAAAAAGAAAGAAAGAAAAGAAACAAAGAGAGTAATCTCAGTGGTAGAGCACTTGCCTGGCATATGCAAGGTTCTGGGTGCAATCCCAGCACTGTCAAGAAAGAGAGAGAGAGGAAGAGGGAGGGAGGGAGGGAGGGAGGGAGGGAGAGAGAGAGAGAGAGAGAGAGAGAGAGAGAGAGCGAGCTTGTGAGCGACCATTTTCTTAAGGTGTATGGTTTCTGAAGTGACTTGGTCTGCCTTGCCTGTCCTGATGAACTGGTAGTCGGCTCTATCAACAGCAGGATTCCAGCTGCCAAACACATCTGGCCCTAGCAACTCCTACTTTTATGTCTACCCCTGCCATTTTTTAAGACAGTGGTCAATGGTGCTTAGTGTGGCCCAGGACCCCTGKGATCTCCAAAGACAAAGCCACTATAATACTGACATATTTGCCTTTTTAATTAAATTGACATTTGTACTGATGCAAAAGTAACAGTGGGTAATGGTGGGTAATTTGGAAGGAATGAAGACTGGTAGCAGCAGTGATAGGCATTGTGTTCCCACTGATACTGCTTTTTCTTTATTTCTTTTTTGCAGTACTGGGGAGGAACCCAGGCAATTGAGCAAGCTAGTGAAGCAGCTCTGAGCTATATCCCCAGCCTTGCCTCTCCTGCCTTTTTTTTTTTTTTTTTTAAATTTTGTGACAGACTCTTATGTTGCTGAGGCTGGCCTCAAACTTGTGATTCCCTCCTGGTCAGCCTCTAGAGTAAACTGGGATTACAAGCAGGAGCCACCACAACTGGCTGCTCATATTAATTTTGGTATCAACCAAATGTGTCAACATTTGGACAATTTGTATAATCCAGTGAATCAATGTTTTGCAAATGACAATACATATGCTGTTACAAATATTACCTGTGAGTAAAATGTCCATCTAAAGATGTTAATGTAATGGAGCCTAAAGTTTATAGACATGGCTTCAGATTCCACATTCCAAGTGATCTTTAAAAGATTACCATCTGTGTGATGCAGCTGGAGTTCTATGGTAAGGCTCAGGCTTAGCATGCTGAAGCCCTGAGCTCATCCGCAGCATCAGAACAAAACCCAACACAAAACCCAAGGGGCTGTGATATAGGTCTGTGTAGATGGCTTGCCTGGCATGCAGGAGGCTGGGTGTCATCCCCAGCACTCAAACAAACAAACAAACAAAAAATAGTGCTTGTACATTTAGGTGAGATATCAAAGAATATTCACAATTACTTTAAAAGGCTATTAAAATGATCTTCCCTTTTCAATTAAATGCMGGCAAGGCCAGGTTTCCTTCATAACCTTCAGTTATTTCACAAGAGATAAAAAGCAGCAGATACGAGAATGTAGTTTGTCTTCAACGAAACCAAACATTAAAGAGATCCGAATGCAAAACGAAAGCAATCTAAATTTTTATGGAAGATATACTTATTTTTCAAGAAAATTTGCGTAARCCCTTAATAATCTCATTGTATTTTAATAAATTGATGTTTTGAAAATCACTCGTTTAGGGGCTCGCCGAGTATGCGTGAGGCACTGGGTTCCATCCTCAGCACCAAATAAAAATAAAATAAAGATATTGTGGGCTGGGGTTGTGGCTCAGCGGTAGAGCACTTGCCTAGTACTTGCGAGGCCCTGGGTTCGATCCTCAGCACCACATAAAAAGAAATAAATAAAACAAAGATATTGTGTACAAGTAAAAGAATTAAATATTTGGGCTGGGGATGTGGCTCAAGCGGTAGCGCGCTCGCCTGGCATGCGTGCGGCCGGAGTTCGATCCTCAGCACCACATACAAAGATGTTGTATCCGCCGATAACTAAAGAATAAATATTAAAAAAAAAAAAAAAGATATTGTGTTCACCTATAAGTAAAAAAGTCTCAAAAAAAAAAAAAATCACTGGCTTAACAAAGTTCTCTATTTAAAAACGCCCAGGGCTGTGGGTAGCTCATTGGCGGAGCACTCCCTGTCCCAGCACCCGCAACTTGACAGACGAAATTCCAGCCCGCAGTATCGCTGCGCACCATCAGGTCAACAGCCTSTGGGGCCGCGACTTCTGACGGTGCAAAGGGGCCGCGGTAGCCCGAGGCGGGGAGCCCGCCTCGCTCAGGGGCCGCAGCGCTCAAGCCCGCAGCGCCCGCCGTCCCGCCCTCGGGCAGGGGTCAGCGGTGGGGGCCGCCGCCCTTTGCGCCGCCGCCCGCCCCCGGAGCGCTGTGCCGCGCAGYTGGGGCCGCCGGCCGGTGGGAAGGGCCCCGGGAGCGGGCGGGGCCTTCGGATCCTTGGCCCCGCCCCACGCCCCCGAACCCCTTGGCCCCGCCCCCACGCCCGCCGGGCCGTCTCCCCGCCCCCAAGCCCGCTCTGAGGAACGGCCGCCCGGCAGCGCAGGCGCGGACYCCTCACGACAGTGCGACGCTTTCCGGCCGCCGCGCGGTGCCGACGTGTCGGACGGCTCCAGGCGGGCTGGTCATGGCAGTGCGCGCCCGGTCCGCGCGGGTGCCTGCCGGCTCGGGTAGGCTTGGGGTCCCCGGTGCAGGCAGGGCGGGAGGGCCCGCGGGAGCCGGGCGCTGGCCCGGGGTGGCAGGGAGAGGYCGGCGCCCCTCGTTCACTCCTGCTCTTACGGCTACAGACCAAGTGCAGAAGGACCGGCCCTCGCAGGCCACGGCGCCCGCGCAGGCCGGCCGCATGGCGGCGCTCCTGGGCTTCGAGTGGACGGACCTGTCCAGCTGGCAGAGGCTGGTGACCCTGCTCAATCGACCGACGGATCCGGCCAGCCTGGCGGTCTTCCGGGTTCTCTTTGGTGAGGCCACTCTGCGGGTGCGAAGCGGGAAGGACAGTGYTGCCTCCCTGGGTTGCTCGCACACCTAGCTCGCTTTCCGAGAGCTGAGGACGGTGGCGAGTGGGAGGTCTCCGTGAAGTTAGGGTCGAACCTGGCTGGCTTTGCCCCTTCTAGGTAGGATTGGTGGCCAGAGGAGCTTTCATCTGCGGCTAGATGAAATAGAGGCAGAGGAGCAGGGACCCATTCTGTTTGTGGCATTAAGTTGCCCAAAAACTAACTTTAGAGTAACAGAAAGCAAGAGTGACAACAAGAAACTAACATTTTGTCTGACCCAGGACTTGGAATGAGTGACAGCACATGTCCTTGGAATAGGCTACACAGGTGCCAAGGTTCCCAAGTCTCGTAGTTTTCAACTGGGGAAAGTTTTGCTCCCCAGGAAGATTTGGCAATGTCTGAGATGTGTCAYAACCTGGAGCCAGAGCAATAGGTAGCATGTATCTCTGCAGGCACCAGGGCTGCTCCTGGATGTTCTGTAATGCATAGGGCAGCCATCCCAACAGATACCCAGACCAAAATAGGACTGGCCTTAAGGGTTAGAAACTCTGCCTTAATCCAAATGACTTCCTAATCTGATCAGTCTTTTCTGTTTACCTGTTTGTTTGCTAAGTACCCCTGCAAAGGACCCCCAGAGCACTTTCTGTAGCTCTGTAGGATAGATCCTTATAACTGTCAGAACCTATTGGTTTTGATAGCATTCTGTACATTTCTCTCATTCAATCATCTCTAACACTATGAAGTATTATGAGCCCTCTTTCACAAATGGGGCATTGACTTTCTGAGCTGCGGGGCTATCTGAGATCACACAGCTGGCATGTCACCCAACACAGACAGGGCTCAGTGATCGTTGTTGAGTGAATGGGAGAACCAAGGTAAGAGAAGCTGGCCCTGGGGCTGGGTACACTTAGCTGTCCTCCTGTWTTCCACTGCTACCCTAGCTGAAGCTTCACAGTCCCCTCTCCTGCTGCCTCTACAGCGTTCTTGATGGTGCTGGACATTCCCCAGGAACGGGGGCTCAGCTCACTGGATCGCAAATACCTGGATGGACTGGACGTTTGCCGCTTCCCCTTGCTGGATACCTTGCGCCCGCTGCCACTTGACTGGATGTATCTTGTCTATACCATCATGTTTCTGGGTGAGGGGAACTTGGGAGAGATGGGAGTATTGACTGAYCTGCTGGTGAATGTCCAAGTCTTGGGTGCCTGTTTCACTTCTGCATGATTAGTTTTCATGCTGCACATCTGTAGGTCATCTCAGCTGTGAACCCATACCTTCTCTTTTCAAAATATTGAAATAGTGTGTAATTTTCATTTAGTTTTGCCTGATCACAAGATGTCTGATGACTTTGTTTAATCCCAGTCATGGCTGGGCCTGTGGTGACCCTGGGGCCTTACCTCTGCTCCCTGTGCATCCCAGGGGCGCTGGGCATGATGCTCGGGCTGTGCTACCGGCTGAGTTGTGTGCTGTTCTTATTGCCATACTGGTATGTGTTTCTCTTGGACAAGACGTCGTGGAACAACCATTCTTACCTGTATGGTTTGGTGGCCTTCCAGCTGACGTTCATGGATGCTCACCACTACTGGTATGAGTTGGGAATATAGGGGCAGGGTCAGTGGATCAGGATGCTTACCAGAGATGAGGACTCATCMAAGTCCTAGAAATTGCCCCAACAGGCATATTTTTTAACCATGTTTTGCAAAGCATGGTTGCAAGGTTACACTTTGGGGTGAATTTGGGAGGGGCAACAGCCAGCCATTTGGGGCAGTGGGGTTGACAAAAGGCCAAATGCCTCCATTCCATCCTCACTTTTTCCATATCTCCCCAGGTGCCTTGACCTTTCTACTTCCTGTAACCCTCTTAGAAGAAGAGAAGACCAAAACCAGACCTAGCTGTTTTCAGATACTTCAAGGGTGCTCATGTGAAACAGAGAGCAGACTTTCTCTGTGTGAGCCCAGAGGGGAGAGTTAGAACCAAAAATAGACGTTGCTGTGAGGCGGAGATCATGTCAGGAGGAGAGGGTCCACTAGGGCTGCTATCCTGGGAGGAAGTAGCCCTTCCCATCTCTGGCTTAGGTGACCATCTCTTGGGGAGGTGGGGGAAAGGATTTGGAGTCAGGGTGGCAGGGTGGATGCCTTACAGAGTCTTCCCTTTGCTAAGTGAAAAGCAAACATGAAATGTCAGTAAGATGGGTATATGAACAAAATCGCAAACACTGAACTCATGAACAGCCATGAAGTTACATCCATTGATGGACATATGCAAATTCTTCTTTTGTAAAAAAAAACTTTTTCCAGTCCTGGGATTGAACCCAGGGTCTTGTACATGCTAAGCACTTGATCTACCACTGAGCTGCATCTCCAGGATCCTTTTGTAAAACTTTAAACTCATTCAGAATGTCTATCTCTGATCACAGAGAATGAAGACACAGTTTTGGCAGAATATCCCTGAGAAATGCCATTTTTATGACTTTTATACGTTTTGAAAAAATTGCTATCATTTACTGGGGGCTTTCTGCATGGCAGGCACATTTAAAATTTTTCCTCATAACTTTTCAAACACTCCTCAGATTCTTCCCTTTTCAGTCATTTTCTAGCCTAGCCTTTTTCCCCAATTTGATCCATTAGTACAGACTCAATTATGAGCTGGTAGTAAGCAATAAACTTTTTATTTTTTTATGTATTTGTATTTTAATTTCTGGCAATATAAAAGCATCCCCATAAAGCCATTCTGGTTTTCACTTTTTTTTTCCCTCCACACTGGGGCTGGAACACAGGGCCTCATGCACGCTGAGCAAGCTCCGTACCACAGAGCTCTGTCCTCGGCCCTGTTTTTTACTTTTGGTACACTATTAATGAACTACATGACATGAGATAAAATACTTGATTATGAAGTATGCTTTGGGCTAGATGGTTTCGCCTGACTGTATGTTAATGGAAATGTTTGGAGCACATTTATGGCAAGCTAGGCTACTCTAGACYGTTCAGTAAGTTTGTGTGTGTGTAAAATCCATTTTCAACTTAATAATATTTTCAAGTTATGGTAAGTTTACTGGGATGTACCTTTATTATAAATAAAAAATCTATAATARTATTTCTTTTTTTGTTTAGCAATACTGAGGACTGAACCAAGATCTCATGTGCTAAGCAAGTGCTCTACCAGTGTGCTACATCCTAGATTGGGTCTTGCTAAGTTGCCCAGGCTGGCCTAGAACTTGCAATCCTTCTGCCCCAGCCTCCTGTGATGTTAGGAGTACAGGCGTGCATTGCTGGCTATAGTAATACTTCTTACAATAGGCTGGAGATGTTGCTCAGTGGTACAGTGCTTGCCTAGCATGTGTGAGGCTCTGGGATCAACTCCAGCACTCCAAAAAAAAACAAAAATTCAGAATTTTCTCATACATTTCTAAAGGGTCTCAAGAATAGCCCAGAGAACCAGGAAGGCCATGGAGATATTCCTACGGTAGATGGGTTTGTCAGCATGGAAAGGAGAGGGAGAGACAGGGCTGGACCAGGAGGCCTCCCTCATGTCGACTCCTTGGTACAGGTCTGTGGACGGCCTTCTGAATGCCCGTAAGAGGAATGCCCACGTGCCCCTTTGGAACTATACAGTGCTGCGTGGCCAGGTACAGGACTTCAGGACAGATGCTCCTGATAGCCACTGTGGGCAGCCTGTCTTCCCATGCCAGCTTGCGTATACTCTGCCTTCCTGGGTTGACTCTTTCCCTTTGCGGGAAGCCAGGCTGGCTTTCCATTTTCTCCAGTCCTTACTCTGGGAGTTCTCTCACCCTGTCCAGGGAAGAGTATTGTTTGTGTGGGCTGTGGAGCCCTCTTGAGAGGACGGGTCTTGTCCTCTCCCTYGGGGTCTGCTGCTTGTTGGGTGAGTGAATGTCTTACAGTGGAAGAGTGGATCTGCTCTACCTTGTGTCCTGGACTGAGTTCAGAACTTATTTCTGTTGGTGCTGGGGATTGAACCTAGGGATGCTCCACCTCCAAGTTACACCCCCAGTCCTTTTTAATTTTATTTTGAGATGGTCTTGCTAAGTTGCCTAGGCCAGCTGTAACTTGGGATCTTCCTGCCTCAACCTCCCAGATACTTGGGAGTACAGGCCTTACTTTGTTCATGACTAAATAGTCAACAACATTCTTAGGCCTGGCAACGTAGCTCAGTGGTGGAGGACTTGCCTAGCATGTGCAAGGCTCTGGGTTTAATCACCAGAACTGCAAAAAACCCTGAAAACCAAGGTTCTTTTTTGTTTGAGTGTTGCATGTTGTGTATGCAGATCTTCATTGTGTACTTCATTGCTGGTGTGAAGAAACTGGATGCAGACTGGGTGGAAGGCTACTCCATGGAGCACCTGTCTCGGCACTGGCTCTTCAATCCTTTCAAGTGAGTGGCAGTCAGAGTAGAGGCCTTGCTGGAGCCTGGAGCAGAGCAGGCACTCGGCTTCTGTGGTCTGCAGTAATGGGTGCTATTCCCACTGTGTCCAAGTTCACCCCTCTTGACTTCYTTTGTCCACTCATCTCCCTGCTTGACAGAGGAGAGTCAATTATATTAAAAGATTAAGGCCCAGCTGCACCTGGGAGACTTGTGCTACAGGTGGGCAAGAAGGGAAAAGAAATAGACAGGAAAGGGCCAGAACCAGGTGCAGTATGCCTGCCTTTGCCCCAGCTCTCACCAAGATGGACAGCCACTGCTCCTGCTCCAAGCAAACCATTATTACCAACTGTCTCAAACAGGTTCGCCTCTGATTTCKCTCCTCTCCCTTCTTCTCGTTTTACTTTATTTTTCCCTCTTCCACTTCCTGAAGTTTTTTTTCATTCATGACATCCACGAGGAACCTCCTGTCCCCACAGTACACATTTCTCAGGCCTATCTTGTGCTAGGAAATCTGTCCTTGCCTTTTACATAGCGTATGCTGAAAAAAATGGGACACCCGAACCTGTGAAGGAGTTGGAGAACTCTGCTGTAGCATCTTGGGGTGGCTCGTGCCCTTCGGTGGTCTGCCTCACCAGTGAGTGTGTGTCAGCAAGGACAGGGCCGTGAGGCATCTCATGTGTGAGTATTCTGTGATGCGGGTCCCTGTGCCTGCCTGCAGATTGGTGTTGTCTGAAGAGCTGACCAGCCTCCTGGTGGTGCACTGGTGTGGGCTGCTGCTGGACCTCTCTGCTGGTTTCCTGCTCTTCTTTGATGCCTCAAGATCCATTGGCCTCTTCTTTGTGTCCTACTTCCACTGCATGAATTCCCAGCTCTTCAGCATTGGTCAGTATCTGTAGCTTGGATGAACAGGAGCCAGAGGCTGTAGGGAGAGACTAGGAAGAGGCGTCCTTTGGGAAACAGTGGTGGGACCAGGAGCTGAGCTGAGCCCAGTGCAGTCACTGTGAATTGGGAGTGGATGGGATGARCATTGGGGCTTTGGGCTCAGTGTGCTGTGTAAGGAGTCTCTGGGAAGAGTAAGCATCCAGTATCCTGTAGCTGAGAACTCTCTTTTCCTTTTTTTTGTGTGTGTATGCATGGGGGTGTGTGATGCAGGGGTCTAACTCCGGGCCTGTACAAGCTAGGCAGGTGTTCTGCTTAATGCTTGATTTAAGTAGAGCATCTGGGACAGGCTTCCTGAGGGAGGGGTGTGATTCAGGCCAATCCTGCATCCTTTCTCCCTGCTTTTCTAGGTATGTTCCCTTATGTCATGCTGGCTACCAGTCCTCTCTTCTGCTCCCCTGAGTGGCCTCGGAAGCTGATATCCCACTGCCCCAAARGGCTCCAGGAGCTGCTGCCTCTCAAGGCAGCCCCTCAGCCCAGTGCTTCCTGCATCTCTAAGAGGAGCCGAGCCAAAGGAGCCCAGAAGCCAGGGCTGCGCCACCAGCTGGGAGCTGCCTTCACTCTGCTCTACCTCCTGGAGCAGCTCTTTCTACCCTATTCCCATTTCCTCACCCAGGTTAGTGGCGTAGTGTGTGTGTAGCAGGGGCTGGGCTTGGAAACTGGCAGAGGTGACATAAATCATAAAGTGGGAAAGAATAAACTGGTTTTGTAGGCCTCTCAATAGAGGAAGGAACTGGCATGAGGCAAGTTGATCTGACCTGACCCCCGCCCCCCCCGCCCTGCCTTCCTAGGGCTATAACAACTGGACAAATGGGCTGTATGGCTACTCCTGGGACATGATGGTGCACTCCCGCTCCCACCAGCATGTGAAGATCACCTACCGTGATGGCCTTACTGGCGAGCTGGGCTACCTCAACCCTGGGGTGAGGCATCTGACACTAATGACAGTCTGTTCTTCAGAGTCCTCTTGATCTTTGGGGCCTGGTTTGGTTCTACACACATCAAAAAGTAAAACAAATTTGGGTCTCTGCTCTTTCTCAGGAGTCAGATTGAACCTTTTCTTAGGTGGGTAGAGGTAGAATGCCGGCCACTTCTTTATACTATGACTAGATTTAGGCAAGGTAAGTACCATTAGCCCAGCAATGAAAAGTTCATCCCCAGAGGCGAGTGCTGACCTTTTTCTGGCAGAAAGGGGCAGCAGGCTGGGTCTCTTCATGCCGTGGGCAGTGCATGCCTGTCGGGAGGCTGAAGATGTGAGGTGGGACTAATGTGGGGTTTGGGGTCAGGTATTCACACAGAGCCGGCGATGGAAGGATCACGCAGATATGCTGAAGCAGTATGCCACTTGCCTGAGCCGCCTGCTTCCCAAGTACAATGTCACTGAGCCCCAGATCTACTTTGATATATGGGTCTCCATCAATGACCGCTTCCAGCAGAGGTGGGCAAGGGGAGCAGGAAAGGGGAAATTGCACACAGCTCTTTGAAGTAAGGTGAACGGCGGCCTTGTCTTGCCACATGCACATCCTGGTCAGTCTGGTTGTGGGCATTGGTGGTGGCTTCCAGCAGGGGGCACCATCGTCCTGGAGAGGAGTGAGCTGCTGGTCCCTTACAGTGCCTTTTCCACAGGTAGCCCCAGCCCCGCCTTCCAGTGCTGCAGACTCTTCCCTCTGCCCTGGGCTGGCAATAGCATGCTGACATCAGCTGTTTCTTCTATCTGGAAATCCTGTCCCCTCTCCCTGGGAGTGATGAAAGGAACAGAAGTAGAAGTGGCAGTGGGTGGGCAGTCATGGCCTCCTTGGAATAAGCTCTTTCTTTTTCCTAAGGCTTTTTGACCCTCGTGTGGACATCGTGCAGGCCGACTGGTCCCCCTTCCAGCGCACATCTTGGGTGCAGCCACTGTTGATGGACCTGTCTCCTTGGAGAACCAAGCTGCAGGAAATCAAGAGCAGCCTGGACAACCACACAGAGGTGGTCTTCATTGCAGACTTCCCTGGTAAGGAGGCTGCGGGGGGAGGCCTTGCTACCTTCCCTGGTCCTCTGTCAGTGGGAAGGCCCTCCGCAGGGATGAACTGCACCTCTGCTCATTCAGTAGAGTTCATTCTACTGTGGTGTGTTACCTTGGCAGGGCTGCATCTGGAGAATTTTGTGAGTGAAGACCTGGGCAACACTAGCATCCAGCTGCTGCAGGGGGAGGTGACTGTGGAGTTGGTGGCAGAAGAGAAGAACCAGACTCTTCGGGAGGGAGAAAAAATGCAGGTATTTTGCYGGGATTAACAGTGGCAGACAGTTTAGGCGAGTAGGGTTTATTAGACCAGAAAACGCTTCACAGCAGTGGTGCTGCAGGAATTCAGTAGGGGGTTCCGCTGGGGCGTAAGAGTGGCAGAGTGCACACGGGCACAGTCTCTGGCTCTGAGTAGCCTCSTCCAGGATCCCAGAGGTCAGTTACTTTAGACTCCAAAAGAATGAGGAGACAGTGGACAGTGTACCAGGCTGGCTAAGCCGGGTTTTTTCTCCTCCTCAGCTGCCTGCTGGTGAGTACCATAAGGTGCACACGACATCACCTGGCCCTTCCTGTTACATGTAYGTTTATGTCAACACTACAGAGCTTGCACTGGAGCAAGACCTGGCTTATCTACAAGAATTAAAGGAAAAGGTGGAAAACGGAAGTGGTGAGTGTATGAAGGGTCAGGTGGATATGACCCCCCGGGTTTCAAGAAATCAAGGTCATGAGTAAGGATCTAGCCATTAAAGAATGAACTTGGGCTGGGCACAGTGGCACACGCCTGTAACCCCAATGGCTGGGGAAGATAAGGCAGGAGGATCTCAAGTTCAAAGCCAGCCTCAGCAAAAGCGAGGTGGTAAGCAACTCAGTGAGACCCCATCTCTAAATAAAATACAAAATAGGATGGGGATGTGGCCCAATGGTTGAGTGCCCCTGAGTTCAATTCTCGGTACCAAAAAAAAAAACTCTCCGTGGTGAAGAGTTCTCAGGGACAAGATCTATCTCAGTGATTCCTCTTTTGTTGTSTTCTGGGCAGAAACGGGGCCTCTACCTCCAGAGCTGCAGCCTCTTTTGGAAGGGGAAGTGAAAGGGGGCCCTGAGCCAACACCTCTGGTTCAGACCTTTCTTAGACGCCAGCAAAGGCTCCARGAGATCCAACGCCGGCGAAATACCCCTTTCCACGAGCGACTCTTTCGCTTCTTGCTGAGAAAACTATACATCTTTCGTCGCAGGTGAGTTCTACCTACAGTTGCAAGCTTGGTGACTTCTCTTTCATGAGGGTAACACTAGACTTYTTAAAGACAGAGGAAGTAGCCTGTGTCTGATGGCCAATGCCCCAATCCTGGTATGTGCCAGGCTATATAAGGACTGGGACATAAAGGGTCACTGCAGGGAGATTCTCAGATAGCTGGGGGAGAGGGGCTAGGTGTTCCCTAAGGGCTTTGGCTGGAACTGTTTTTGAACAGAAGTTTGGACTGGCTTTTCTCCTGTTTTTCAGCTTCTTGATGACTCGAATTTCACTTAGAAATCTGCTATTAGGCCGCCCTCCCCTGGAGCAGCTGGCCCAAGAGGTGACTTATGCAAACTGGCGCCCTTTTGAAACAGATGGTGAATCAAGTCCTTCAAACAGGGAGTCTTCAAATTCCAATCCTCCTGAGACAAATCCTGATCCTATGCACTCAGAGTTCTGAGGGCACCGGATGTTTGATGCAGATATGGGAGCAGCCAGTCACAGACACAGCATCTATGCAATGGACATTTGAGAACATTTTTAGATTTGTTTTACATTACATAACAGCTTGGAATTAATAAAGATATTTCAATCCAAGATTGAGGAGCCATGAGGAGGTTGTCAAATGTCCTTTGAGAATAAAGGGGTGAGTTAAAACTGACCAGCTCAGGTGGGTATGCTGGTGTATACACTGGTAATCCAGTGCCTCAGGAAGCCAGCCTGAGCAAAGGAGACTCAGTAGACCCTGTCTCTAAATAAATCTGGGGATGGGGCTCAGTGATCAAATGCCCAAGTTCAATCCCCAGTATCTGCCCCCTCCCCAAAAACACCCCTGTAATGGTTAATGTTCCTAAGTGCCGTTACACATGTACCTATTTGTACCTATTTAATCTGTAGTATCCCTTATCCCCAAACTAAATTTGCCCGAGACATCCAAAACATAAGGGGTAGATTGGTAGTTCCCAGAGTCAGCCTGAAATGCTAATGTACAAAGTGGTTYTACCTTACTCTGGTTTCTTTTTTTCCAGTTGCCTAGACAGTGGTTTCCATTAGCCAATGAAGCTTTTGTCCCCCTCCCCCCCACACACACCCAAGTATCCGGAATCACATTTGGAGCTTAGCAAATTACACAAGCTGTACCACCTTTTTACAGGTTACCCAGGCTGACCTTAAAGTTGAGATTCTCCTGTGTGGCTGGGATTGCATGTGCCTGCTTTTTAATATCAAGTCCCATCAATTTTTTCCACTGGAATTTAATTGAGACTAGGAAAGACATTTTATTGTGTGGGTTGGACCTATAGGATAGGCAGAAAATGTCATGCAAGCTATTRGAACACTTGAATGGTTAAGAGTTAGTGGGTTGGGTGGGGGTGTTTTTGGACCAGTTTCTAATTCTTCATACCTTAACCTTAGAAAGTTCAACTATCTTCCTTATGTTTTGGAAGACTTCTAATAAAAGTACTCTACATGGGCAAGGATGCTGCCTTCATGCCAGTGTACCACCACCTCCCTGACCTATTTCCCCCAAAGAATGGCATAAAGTGTTCAGTATAATTATCCATGTCCCAAGAAAAATGAGGTCTAGTTGTTCCGAGAATTGGCCTTTCAGCCAATCAGCTTTAGATTGATCCTTCTTCTGATCCCAGCATGTGGATTTTGTTCTCAACTTTAGGTTTTGGAAAGCCTACTGCAAGGTCCTGGATTCATGGGGAGAGGGGAAAAAATGACAGTGGGTGGCTACAACAAGGACATATTTCAGTCTAGAAGGCAATATTGGACAAACCAGATGGGAGTCTAGACCTGTTGATTCCCAGTGGGCCCCAAGAAGTATGTATACAATTTTCAGGTTATTTGTAGCCACAGCAATTAAAGAACAGTAACACAGGGTAGAACCTAGCATTTTATTTAGATCTTCATTAAACTGTTGGAATTGAGAACCAGACATACGTAATAAACCTCCAAAAATAGACCCTGGAAGGCACTTTCTGCTTCGGGCAAGCAGTCATGGAGTAGCATGTAAACAAGCTGGCTTCTCTGTACCACGCCAGCCAAGTCTGCTCTCTCCACGGTCAGCCGCACCAGCTCTGCCCTCCCTTCGCTTAACACCAGCCAGACCCCCTGTAGGTCTAACCCAAGGTTTTTCTGTAGGACACCTTGGCCTACCTGGGAATGCTGGAAACATGTTGTTAAAGGAATCATGGTGTTGAGGAAAAAAAAAATCTTTTAAAAGCTGCCATCTGAGGTGATAGCTTCTCTGTACTTACGCCATACCTCAGAATACAATAAATAAGCAATTAGAAAATGTTCAAGTATGAAGGGATTTCCTCCTCCCCGCCAAAAGCACTGCTCTCTGAAGGAAGCTGGTTTCTCTGTAGCTACACCAGCTGTTCAGAAAGCTCATTGGACCTGGTTTTGAAAATAAAACAAAGTTAAAACCCTGGGAGGAATTATTGTGCAGTGTGGAGTACTCATCTTTCTTATAAAGAAAAAAAAAAGTTATCTGGTACCAAAGTGTGCAACCTACAGACCCTCAGGTACTGCCCTGTGACTTCTCTGTATGACATCACAAGGGTGCCAAGTGCCTGTTTTTCTAGACTAGGAGTTGGTGAGGTTTGGCTAGTGCTGAAACCATGCATAGGATTGGTTTAATAAATGAAAACCTTATTACGTACGTCCTCCAAAAGACAGCTGAAGGTGGAAAAATTTTGATTTGGTGCTATTAAAGAGGTGGCAATTAAGAGCATAAGCACCAGGGAGATGGTTTAATGGTAACTGCCTTTTTGATTTTTTATGTCAGGCTGGAGCTCCGACTGGAACTTGCGTTACATGCAAGATAGATTGGGTAGGGAACACTCCCTGACAAAGAACTACATAATTAGAAATGGATCAAGTTACAGGGAGGATAAGGGAAGGCTTCACATTCATAATAGAGCTCAAGACATTACAAATTCATGCTGAGAGCTGTGGCATTGCCAGACAGGCTATAGTGGAACTACAAGTACTTTTACGTGCACATTACAAGGATATTTTCAGCRTTTGGTAGGAAAGTCAATGTGTTTAGGACTTTGGAGGGTTGGGTGATAGGGCACAAAGGTTCAGTTCCAAAGCATTATTCACTACAAGTGTTGTTACTAGGCAGTTACATGGATCACCTATGCTCACTAAATTCATTATAATGGTGAACAAAACTTCTAGGGACAGAATAGCAAGCCCAACTTACAGTCCCCCACAAAAGCTAAAATTCATGTCATTGACTAGAGAGTGACTGCAACTGATGAGCTGAAAGAGGACAAGAAAATTTAGCAAGAAGGGCCCTTTCCCTCAGAGCTTGAAGGCTTCTCTGTAGCCTACGCCAACAAGTCTGGGGAAAAAAGGCTAACACTTTYAGTATTTAAGCTTTTTGGGCACTTCCCATGGGAAGCTGTCCCTACCAAAGTGGCCATAGGCTGCAGTCCTCTGATAAATTGGCTTCTTCAGATCCAGATCCCTGGAATATACAAGTCCATAACTTAATATGTAGCATTGGATTAAAATAAAGCAAAACAATCAGCAAGACTCATTTTCAAGAGCTCTGGCAAATGAGTTCAGTTCTCTGGGGTATGCTAGGAAAAAAGTTTGTGGCAAAAGTGTTTGTTACTTCCCTGGTGTCCAAAGTCCTTGTACAGTCCTTATTAGTAACTACAGTTCTTGTTTTTCCGGCCCTGGCTCAACAAATATGAAAACTTGTCATTATTCTGAGGAATTCCAATTGTCAAAAGCTCATCTGAGGATCATGGATACTTACCAAGGTCCCACTGCCCACTATGGTTCTTTTCTTTGTAGAACCTTGAACATCCCACTTGTCTGTATTAATTTCTTAAACACCCTTAGGTATGATGAGCACAAAGCCCAATATTAAATGTGAAAGACTTTCTAGGGTGATTAATATAAGCCACAGAGCACTGTGACTTGTATTTCTCAATTAAATGCTCCCTGAAGGCAATTTTAAAACATCAGCATGTTCTGGAATTAAAATGTTTCCCCATTTGAGGAGTCTACCTTTACCTCCTCATATCTAAGTAGTATGCATCACATATACCCACACCCTCTACTTTTCACTAGCAATAGGCTTTACCATCTTTACCTGACAATGACCCCAGGGCGAAGATCAAAGTTCTTCTTCACAATCTCTAATAGCTCTCTCTCAGTCTTCTGAGAGGTACCATAATGGAAAATGGAGATGGACAATGGATGAGAAACTCCAATAGCATAAGAGACCTAAAAGGATTCAAATGTTAACAGTCAGTAATTCAAATGCATACTTATATACATTGGTATAAAATGGGCAAGAAGCTTATTACTGTTATATCCCCTCCCGCTTACATGGCTGTTTACCACTCCAATTACATAAAAAGAATATATACCTGAACAAGAACCCTCCTGCACAGACCTCCTTTAACAAGGGATTTTGCCACCCAACGGGCAGCATAAGCAGCTGAGCGGTCCACCTTAGTATAATCCTTTCCTGAAAAGGCACCTCCTCCATGAGCTCCCCAACCGCCATAGGTATCCACAATTATTTTCCGGCCAGTCAAACCAGCATCACCCTGAAATTATAGGATTTAAGTCACTTTATGCCTAATCCTTCCCAGTAAGTGGTTCTAGATTAGAATGCCTATTCTATGCCACTAAAGATTCACAAGCAAATTCCAGAATCTTAAAAGAGGTGATAGTGACCCAAACTTTTCAAGTAACCAAAGACTCAAAATAGTAAAGAGTATGCTGAGCTGACATTTACCTGAGGCCCACCAATAACAAATCTGCCACTTGGCTGCAGATGGTAGATGGTATCCTCATCAAGATATTTTGGAGGTACAACAGCTTTGATGACCTTCTCTTTCAGGGCATCCCTCATCTCGTCAAGACAAACTTCTTCATCATGCTGAACAGATATAACGATTGTATGGACTCTGATGGGAAGCACAGCACCTCKATCTTGCATATACTGCACAGTCACCTTGAAGTCAACACAGGTTATCAGAACACCACCAGTTTTGTACTTGTTCTCTATCAAGTTACAATACAGTGCTGGGCATAGTGGTATATGTCTAATCTCAATGGCTCAGGAGGCTGAGGCCAAGGACTGAGTTTAAAGCTAGCCTCAGCAATAGTGAGGCACTAAGTAAACTCAGTGAGACCCTGTCTCTAAATAAAATACAAACAAGGCTGGGATGTGGCTCAGCGGCAGAATGCCCCTGAATTCGATCCCCAGTATCAAAAAAAGAAAATTACAATGAGCAAAAATACGTTATTCTTGGCAGTCATCAAATTCATGGATCTTTCTACAAAGTAATTTTAGGCAATATAGCTTTAAGATCACTTACTTGAGTTTTTGAATCTGGGCGTAACCAAGGCAAAGTGCCGTTGCGGCGTAGTTCAGCCAGTTTGGCATTTAGCTTGTGTGCTAAGACAATGGTTAAAGGCATACACTCCTCAGTTTCATCGGTGGCATAACCAAACATCAAGCCCTGAAAAAAAAGAGCCAGTGATGTAACATTAAAGCTTAATTTAATTTTAGAAGAGACATAAATAGCCTTTCACAATACCTGGTCTCCTGCACCAATGTCTTCCTCA